GTTGCTCGCATCGTACAGAAATCAAGATAGGTTTTTCGGATCGCGGTAAAAAAAATTTTGAAAAGTTTTCAGTGCTATGTCATTTATTGTTTGTATATATATTTAGTAGGGGAGCTAAAGGGTATCATTTAAAATAATGCAATTAATGATTCATTGAAAATCTAAAATGACAAATAATTTGGGACAAGAAAAATTCTCTAAAAAGACATATAATGTTGTGGGTAGAGGGCTTCTTCGACGCTACACCCGGTGTTTATCACCGGGTGTAGGGTCGAAGGAGCCCTCTGTCCCACATTATATGTCTTTTTAGAGAATTTTTCTTGTCCCAAATTATTTGTCATTTTAGATTTTCAATGAATCATTAATTGCATTATTTTAAATTTTACCCTTTATCACTCCTAATTAATAAATTATAAAACAATTAATGTCAATGATATATTATTATTTTTATATTTTTTTTAACTCTAATCTATATACATTTCTTGATTTTTTTAGTATGTGTGCAACAATCCAAAATGTCATATAAATTGCGACGGAGGGAGTATGAAAGTTTTCGGCGTACCGCAATTTGTGTACAACTTTATTGAATGAACGCCCCTAAATTTATCAACTGAAGGGATTTTTCGTAAGATAGTACATAGTTGAGGGGTGCTTGTAATTATAAAAATAAGAAGATTTTTTTCTTAAGTAGACCTTACCTCATGGGTGGTTGTAATTTGCCCTTATCTATAACATATATAAATAGATGAACTTATTGACGAAAGAGATATAACATCTAAAACCCAAAATAATAAAAATTGTTGGTGAGGGACCTCCTCAGAAAAACACAAAAGAAAATAATGAACTTGAAAGTGGAGTATATATTATTCTAACCAATATATTGATGATGCTAAAAATAGATCACCTTAGGTAGTTGAGATCGAGGGAGCTGGGAGAGCAAAGTGGATCACTGCTCACGTGCTAGATGGCTCTGAGATACCGCGAACAAAGAACACGTGAACTAGGACGGGGGTTGATCCGGCGGAAACCCCTCCGACGCTCAAGTCAGACGTGCAGATAGTCGGTAATTGTAGAGAGAATTCGAATAGAAGAATTGATTGGATAATAATATCGTACCTTAATTAAATAAACTTAAGTTGTATTTATACTTTATTGATTGGGTCGAGATCAATTTATCGGGCTCAACCTTATTTGGATGTGATTGGACTTCCGTAGAAATATCTATTAAATTGGGCATGTGACCCAGTAAATATGGGTCTATTGGGCTAGGCCAATAGACATATCATTAAGCCCCCACTCTCGAATTGATGTGGGAGCGAATTTGAGAGAGGTACCGGATCGTGTCGAGAGTAGACTTGTATTTCGATCTTCTAGTGTGTGTCGTGAACTGTAGCGGAACGGTG